GGATGAGAATGATATTTTTTGTTTTTTTTTCCTTTTCTCGTTTTGCGTTATACAGTAATGTCTCCCTTACCGACGCTCAGATTGTTTACTGAAATGGACAATTTGAGGAGAGGGGATACGATTGTTCGAGAGCCTCGCGGCTCGTTTTTATAATTATTGACAATTTATAACTATAAAAATAAACCGGAAGGTTCGAATAATCGTATTTCTTCTTCCTTAATTATCGTCAAGAGCGTCAAGTAGAGAGACATTGCTGTACAGTAATGTCTCCCTTACTGACGCTCGGATTGTCCACTAAAATGGACAATTTGTGAAGAGGAGATACGATTGATCGAGCCTCGCGGCTTGTTTTTGTAATTATTGACAATTTATAACTATAACAATAAACCGAATAATCGTATCTCCTCTTCCCAAATTATCCATTCCAGTGAACAATCTGAGCGTCGGTAAGGGAGACATTACCGTAATACCTACGCTTATCCTAAAAACTTCTGCGCTCGCATCTTGAAAAAGCGCTCTCGAAACACGATACGTACAATTTCGTAACCGGTTGAAGCGAGACCGATTCAGAAACAATTCGCTCGGACGACTCCGATCGGGCAGAAAAATGTCGGACAAATAGAAGCTGGCAACGACGAGAGCGGCGAGGTGCGAAGCGCGTACGTACGTCGCGCAATTAATTCGCCAGGGACGAAAAAGTGGTAGGAACTAGTTAACACCGGAAAGCAAGCAACTTCGCGATGCGTGCATCGGAATCGCGATTATCATCGCCACCTTGACCTTAATCCGAGCGATTCGCGCACAGCATTCCCGTTTCGCGGTAGCCTGTTTCGAAAATAAATGATTATTTCTAGAGCTTCTCATCTCGTGTGTGTTCCAAATATACATACATACGTTACGCTATTTATCTATTTCGTTCATTCATCCATCCGTCTCTCTGTTACGCCAGCGACCGCGCGCCGGGTATAAATAAACAACGGTTACAGTTAGCGAGCTTTCGTTTGTTATTCGCGAATCCCGAAAAACTCTATCTTGCATCTCCGATAATTTATGATCGTTCCACGGCGTTGTTGCTGGGGCTGCCTGCGGCCGGATAAAACGCCGATGGTTTATTAATAAGCTGTTGCAAAATAGAAGAGGCGAATCGGAGCGTCGCGGTGCGCGCGTAAATTCCAAAGGGCGAGAGAAAATTAGGAAAATCCGCAAAGGTCAAACATCGCGGATTGATTACCTCCCACGCTGGCCACCACCGGATTGATTTCCTCTCTGTTCGTGCCACGAGCTCTTCGCATAATCGTTTGCATAGCGAGCCCCGAATACGTGCATAGTTCTTTCGTTTTAACTCCGAACGATGGGTTAATTATGCGAGCAATTATTCGCGCGGATGTTCCGCACGCCTCTCTCTCTCTCTCTCTCTCTCTCTCTCTTTTGCAGATAAATGGAAATGTTGCCTTCCGCGATATTTAAAAATGATACACGATAAGGGAGAAATTCTGAGATAATCAGGTTTGGTTAAAATCTGTGATTTGAAAGTTAGGTCTGTATTAGAACGAGAATGCTAGCGCTGTCTTATGTGCCAATTTATGCAATAAAAAACTAGAGAACGCTTGGATTCCAAAATTTTTATTATTATAAATTGTAAGATTATTATATCAAATTATTTATATATGCATAATATAAATATTATTATATATATATATATATATTAAATTATTATATGTCGTATCAGCGTTGTTTCAAATTATTATTAATTGTAAGATTATTATATTAAATTATTCTATTTCGTATCAGCGTTGTTTCAAATTATTATATCAAATTATTTATACACGTATAATATAAATATTATTATATGTAAATGTATTAAATTATTATATTTCATATCAGCGTTGTTTCAAATTGCATAATTTTCACGAGAACGCGAATCCCGTGTGCGCTGCAGTTTCAATTAACGAACGTTGATTGAAATTTTTTCAAATTGTCACTCGCGGCGTTTCCTCGTTATAGCTGCAGAAACAACAATAACAACAACAACAACAACAACAACATCAATAATTGAGAAACAAAGAAAACTCGCGATCCGGCCAGAAGTTTCATTGGAAGAGAAAATAACGAAAGCACGGGGATGCAACGGGACCGATATCAGGTTCCCAAATAATGTATCAAAATCGAGCAGCGTAAACATTAATTAATTCTCGCTCGGAACGAGGGAAAAAAAACACGGCGACGGGAATCGCGAACGTTTGCAAACCGTTCGAACCGTGTTTCCTTTTCTTTTTATTTGTTCACCTTCCGAAAGATTTGTTGTCGTTCCAATCGATTGCAATTTTTGCAGAATTTCTTCTATCGACAGCCGTGTTATTTTTGTTATTCTTGTAAGCCGACCGTCGCGGCGCGCTACTACACAAACCAAGTCCGAAGATCGAGAGAGGAAGGGGGAGAGAGGAGGGAGGAGGAACGGTGTATGCTGCGTTTAATTTGTCGCACGTGATCCCGTCGGGGTTCGCGCAACGAACTTAATGAATAAAGTCGTTCGCGTGATGCGTCGTGGATCGTTGCACGTGACACAAATAAATAGACTCGCTGGAACGGGAGAAAGAGAGAGGGAGAGAGGGAGGGAGGGAGGGAGGGAGGGAGAGAGAGAGAGAGAGAAAGAGAGAGAGAGACGGATCGAAGCCGACCTTCGAGGCTCGCGACGCGAAAATACTTTCCCATCGATCCGATCCCCGAGTGCAACGCTACGCGATCGAACTTCGTTCCATTTTCTTGTTTTTCCGCGCGCTTCTCAATCGAGGCACAAAAGATACGAGCCCGAAAATTCGAACGAAATGAAAGCCGAGTTGTGATCTACGCGAGTATTTAATTCGAAGTGTAAAAATGTTAATAGGATTTAGAAAACTATTCATTTCGTGTACAGAAATATAAATGCGAACGATCTGCGAAAGGATTTATTAAAAGATAAATTTGATCTGATAAAGGATTAATTTCTAGTACGGTAGAGCCTCGATTATTCGGGCTAAGTACAGGGTGTCCCAAAAATGTCTCGCAATCCGGAAGTGGCGGGTTCCTCGGATCATTTGAAGCACAACTTCTTCCTTTACAAAAATGTTCTCCGAGGCACCGTTAACGAGTTATCAACGAAAAACCAGTGACCAATAAGAATCGAGGACGGCTGACGCGAGGCGGCCCAGCTAACCGGCGCGCGAAGCCCGGTTCCGCTCATTGGCTCGGTTGCCTCGCGCCAGCCGAGCTCGCCTCTCATTGGTCACTGTTTTTCGTTGATAACTCGTTAACGGTGCCTCGGTGAAAATTTTTGTAAAGGAAAAAGTTGCTTCGAACGACCCGAGGAACCCGTCACTTTCGGATTGCGAGACATTTTTGGGACATCCTGTAGAATGCGACGTTAATGTTCGTATAATAGAACAGCGATTAAATTAAAATGCCAGATTAAATTTGTGTCGACATATGTATACATAGAGTAAGCCATTTTGCATGTAAGTAATATCGACATAACAATATAATAATATAATATATAATAATAATAATATAACATAATAATATATTATATATATAATAATATAATATAATAATATCGACATAACCTTATTTTTATAGTTGCCGATAGTCAACAACTATAAAAACGAGGCGCGAGAATCGAATAATCGTATCTCCTCTTTCCAAATTGTCTATTTTCGTTTACGAGCCGAAGGACAATTGGGTCAGAGTTTACTGTATCGAATTTCGCCGAGGTTAAGATACACGAATAATCGAGAACTTGTTTAACGACGAGAGCGGTGCGTTAATCGCGGGACACCCTGTACACTGCTTATCGTTGCACATTGTTGCGGCTGCAGAGAAGTCGGTGAACGGGGTGTATGTCGGTCAAAGTTGGCATCGATCAATGTTGGTCGGCGAACGCTGCTGGTGTCGGTCAAACTTGCTTTCGCGACTTCGTGTCGCGTCGCGTCCCGTCGGCAAGAACACGAACGGAAGCTCGGCGTCCCGACGATTCGAACAGAACGCGCACGTGGTTACGGCGCTACGTTCTGGACGCGTGTCGTTGTACAGTAATTGTCTCTCTAATTGACGCTCGGATTGTCCACTAAAATGGACAATTTGGAAAGAGGAGATACAATTATTCGGTTTATTTTTATAGTTATAAATTGTCAATAATTATAAAAACGAACCGGAAGGTTCGAATAATCGTATCTCCACTTCCTTAATTATCGTCAAGAGCGTCAGTAAGAGAGACATTACTGTACAGACGCATTGACATTTTGGAATTCTTTTAGTCATTTTATTAGTTTGAAATGCAACTACTCGATGCTGGCATAAATGCATAAAATCCGCACTCTACTTATGTATTTAGCACGTTCGCTGGCAGCGTCGCGTATGTGCGATCACGACCACGATTTTTGCACATCACGTAAAGAACGTCGAACGAATTTTGTGAATATAATTATTGGAAATTGTAGCCAATACAGCACGATGTTTCGAGAGTTCGTAGCTTCTCTTCGACGTTTCACATTTTTCTCACATATTTTATAATACGATACAAATATATCTCCAGGGTGTCCCAAAAATGTCTCGCGATCCGAAAGTGGCGGGTTCCTCGGGTCGTACGAAGCAACTTTTTCCTTTACAAAAATGTTCTCCGGGACACCGTTAACGAGTTATCAACGGAAAAACAGTGACCAATGAGAGGCGAGCTCGGCTGGCGCGTGGCGACCGAGCCAACGAGCGGAACCGGGCTTCGCGCGCTGGTTGGCTGGGCCGCCTTGCGTCAGCCGTACTCGATTCTTATTGGTCACTGGATTTTCGTTGATAACTCGTTAACGGTGCCTCGGAGAACATTTTTGTAAAGGAAGAAGTTGCTTCGAACGATCCGAGGAACCCGCCGTTTCCGGATTGCGAGACATTTTTGGGACACTCTATATGTACGCCAGCGAGGACTGTGAGCGATTAAGATACACATTGGAATAATATTCTCAAATTACACTTACTTGGCCGAAATGCGCGCCCGGTCCTTGCGCGCACGGAGGTATCGCAGCCTCTTGGAAGAAAATACTGAGAGCCGTCTGAAAACAATCAGAAAGACGGGGATGAAATTACGTGCAACGTACATATTATACAGGGTGTCCCATAATTACGTGTTAACACCCGGAAAGGGGTGACTCCCGAGGTCATTTGAAGTCACGATGAGATCATTGTTATAAAACGATATGCGTTAGTTTATCGTTAAATGGTCAGTGTGTCACACCCGTGAAACGATACGCGAGAAATTATGCGATTTTTCTTTTTCTGTGCGATATTGTAAAATATTTTTTCGGTAGCCACTGCGGTCGGAACAGCGACGGTGTTCCAGCTTCGGATATTTCATATCGAAGTTGGTGCAAAGCGCGTAATTCATTGTAAAAGGAGTCTCGGGAGGGGGGAGGGGGATGTAGCGAGCGGCACCGCGGTCGAACCTGCAATTTCTACCAACAAAATGCCGAACCGTGCGGCATGTCCGCACAATATTAAATATTTCAACAGCGTGTTAAGAAAGACACTAAAGCCCCTACGTGCGTTAACGTTCTGTTACGGTCCGACACGCAATCGACCAAGTAATACGGTATACATACATATGTATGCAACGCTCGGCAATGTACCGTTTACACTGCCCAAGAGTCTCGACCATTTCCAACAGGTATACACGCCGTCGTTCGGTCAGCATGTATTATCGCCGAATTACGAATGTTCCTGCGGCTACGGTAATGTCTCCCTAATTGACGCTCGGATTGTCCTCAAAAATGGACAATTTTTTTAGTTACCAATTATATTATATAGTACAATTATATATATAGTTACCAATTGTCAACGATTATACAAACATAGTGCAAAGCAGAAATAATCGTATCTCCTGTTCCCAAATTGTCCATTTCAGTGGACAATCCGAGCGTCGGTAAGGGAGACATTACTGTACTGTACTACCTACTAGCAACTCTGGTACATTTTTGGATCAAAGCGCCTGAGATAAAGCAAGTCTTATTTTGAGCGGGGAAGATTACGCGTCCTTGTAAAAGCCTTTGATTTTATTCATTTTATGTTGCTAAGTGTAAAAAAAACATAGCATCTTCGGTGTAATCATGCTAAAAACATTGGGCTCCGCAGAGCAGAGCCTTTGGATTTACGGAACAAACGACGGATGTCTCCGTAGCGGAGCCAACGGAGCGCCAATGGTTGAATACCGACCACCCAATTTTTTTTCCCGTAAACGCCGTAAAGTCCGTATAGTATAATTATACGGCGCAACAAACCGCGACGATAAATATCTCGGCGACGGTCTCCGGCGCAAGAGAGTCAGTCACGCACGTTTACACACCCGGCTACTCGTGGAAAGCTTCCACGCAACATAATCGCGATAGCGTTTTTTATCGTCTGATCAAATAATTCGATTGTTTGTTATCTCCGTCGGGGTTTATTGACGCGAATAGAGTTAACATTAACATAACGCGCGGCCGGGGAACCTTCGCGACACCCGAGCTTCTCGACAAATATGGACGTGCGTGCGCGCGTTATCGTCGCCGTTTGCACGACGATAGCGCGAAAGTCGCCGGCAGAGACCACCTTCCGTGTTTTCTGTTCGAACACTTTAGAACGTACTACGCGCAGACTTTCCTTTTTTCCCTGCTCTTTGTCCTTCGGTTTGCGCGATATCGATATACAGGGTGTCCCAAAATTATGGTTTTCCCGGAAAATGAGGGATTCCTGAGATCATTCGAAGTAACTTTTTCCTTAGCGAAATTGCGATCCGCGGCTCTATTTACGAGTTATCAACGAAAAACAGCGACCAATGAGAGGCGAGCGCGGCGGCCGAGCCAACCAGCGCACGGAGCTCGGTTCCTCTCATTGGTCGCCCGGTCGCCTAGCGCCAGCCGAGCTCGCCTCTCATTGGCAGCTGTTTTTCGTTGATAACTCGCAAACGAAGCCGCGGATCGCATTTTCGCCAAGGAGAAAGTTACTTCGAATGACCTCAGTAATCCCCTACTTTCGGATTGCGAGACATTTTTGGGACACCCTATATTTAATATATTTACTATTATCTACTTATCGCAAGCTTTGTTTCTTGACGCGAAATCCGACGAGTTTACCGTCGGATTTCACCATTTTTCCGGGTGCTAACATAATCATGGGTCACTCTGTATGTTTCAAATTCAAGTCTTACATGCGTGGATAAAATTCTTGTTGCATTTTTTATCATTTATTCGATGCGATAGTGAACGAATTAAACAATTTGGATTATTCGAATAATTTCAAAGAAAACCGATCCGACGCGCATTATCGATTATAAAATAATAATTCGATCCTCGACGTTACCACGTTTTGCCGTCGAGAGGGAAACCGAGGACTGTCTCCGTTCCGGCTACGGCTCTCTTGTAGGGTTTTTTTTTCAAAGCGTCCGCACGCTCGACGTTCCCGATCCTTCGAGGAAAGCAAACTTCGGTGACTCATCTCTTGCGACGGTAAACACAAGGCGACGATGACCTTCGAAAACCTATCACTGTTTACATATTTAAAGCGTATTGCGGAGCGACCGATTGCTGTTATTTTTCGCACGCTTTCGCATAATTAATTTTATATTTATGGAACAGGTAGTATTCGATTTCTTTTATTCAAGAACAAACAGTATAAAAGAATGCGAAAATTGAATACATCTTCGTCGACGAATATAAAGTCAATTTATGCCCGAAACGAACCGAAAGCACGGGAATCGGCGAGCCCACGGTAACCGGCTCCGCTACCCTATCGCTTTACAGTTTCTATCTTCCGGTTTCTTCGTATCGGGCGCGACGAAAGGGGGGTCGGAAACTCGATTGTAGTTCGGGAGGAACGTTAGAGACTGTCGGCGGGGTACAGTAATGTCTCCCTAACAGACGCTCAGATTGTGCACGAAATTGGACAATTTGGGAAGAGAAGATACGATTATTCGAGCCTCGCGGCTCGTTTTTATAATTGTGTAATACAATTTATAATTATAAAAATAAACCGCGAGGCTCGCGAATAATCGTATCTCCTCTTCCCAAATTGTCCATTTTTGTGCGCAATCTGGGCGTCAATTAGAGAGACATTACTATACTCGAGAAACGCGTGGACCGCTAAGGGTTGACGTTGTAATTGATTGAAAGAATTTCCAATTGTCAACGTATCGTTTTTTGATCTATCAAAAAATGATTCAAAAGTAAACGAATTTTGTTATTTGATTTCTATCGGTTGCAATAGAATAAACAATCTTTATATCGAGCATGAAGATCCGCTGTTCAATAACATCTGTTTACCGTTCGAGATATGTTACAACTGTATTACAGATTGCGTTTCGACGAGTATCGCAGAAGCGTATTAGAAAATACGCTTCCTCCTAATCGGTTTCTTTTTCATTAGCCGTTGCAAACAAGTTACGATAAACAGGTGTTACCGCGATTGCTTCGAAGAGGGTACATTAATACTTGATCGGCGTAATGAACGGCGGTTAAGCGCCAATTATCGTTTTACAAGAACAATTTGAATTCGACCTTTTCAGCTGCGACGGTAAATAAAAGTTCACGTTTATTTCTGTTTCAATACGCGCGCGCGGAATGATCGCGAACGTGTAAACAAACTCTATTTCCTGACCTTTGAAGTTACACTCTAATAGGTATCCGTTTATTGATTTTCCTCCGCGCGGCGCGCCGGTCGCCGCTAAGAATTCGCGCGCTCTAAGAATGTATGTATGTACATAATCCGTTCGATACGAAGAATTTACACGATTATCGTGGAATTATATCGTTTATAATATATCTCTATTATATATGTATATTATATATCTATATAATATATATAATATATTATATATATATTTATTTTATATTTTTATATTTATTATATATATATATATATATATATTATTATTATATATATTATATTATCTATTATATAATATATCCAAAGATTGGACGGACACTGAGGAACGTGAAAAAAATGCAGAGAGATGCGTAACGGCGATACATAATATGTACATAATATGTAAAACGTATACATAATATGCAAAAAATGCAGGAATGCACACAATGGCGCTACATAATACGGTATTTATTACCGAAACAGCAAAATCTAAAAATAACAGCGAGTCCTCGCGAGTTTCTTAGTCCTGCTGTCCGAAAGCCAAAAACAACGTTATGCCCTCTATAACATCAGAGGCCTCTAACAACAAGCCTCATGGGTTTACCAATAATAAAAAAAAACCAGAAAGAGTATTGTCTATATCGACAGCATGAAATAGAAACTAAATTTTTTTAGTTTAGATTATTTATAACCTAATATGTATTTAGGTTATTTAACCTATATATATTTAGGTTATTTAACCTATATATATTTAGGTTATTTAACCTATATATATTTAGGTTATTTATTTATAGGTTATATATAACCTATATATATTAATTTAGGTTATTTATTAATAGGTTATTTACAAAGATATAAATTTAATAGATTGAAAACAATAAACCGACGGTCTCAGATTCTTCCGATCTTCTTGCTATTTTAAATTGCAGAAAAACCACGATCTAGCGACAAGAGATTACGCAATCGATCGGTGGAAACGATACAAGCATTTACGAAGATAAATAAGATATTCGTATCTGTCAAATAAAGCGGGTTTTCGAGTCGGAACGATCTTTGTCCCATTTTTCGAAGGAATCGAGCGCGCCCGTGTGGGTCGCGTTACCGGCACGTTCGTAAACAACACCGGAACGTTTTATCTGCGGGGACACGCGAAATCGCTGCTTCTGTATAAATACGCGTGCCAATTGATCGCGCCGATACGGTCGTTTGTACACAAAGGGGACCGGTGTGAGCGGAACGCGAAGCGAAAGATTCGACTTGGCTTCGACTTCGGTGTGCCCCACGTGTGGGGCCATGCATAACGCGAAATCTACGACCGACTATAAAACATAACGGTGGATCTGTACAATAATGTCTCTCTAATTGACGCCCGCATCGACCACAAAAATGGACAATTTGGGAACAGGAGATACCGATTATTCCGGCTTCGCACTATGTT